TCTCCTCCAGCCCTCAATTTATCTGTCAGTTTTGGATATGTGTTTTTTTGCTTTACGTTTTATCTGATTTTTTTCTTTTCAAACGTGCGGCATGGCTTCTCTAAAGCTAAATGGCCTTCGGCGATCAATGTTTAAATGGCCCCTAATACGATGGGGCCGGTCTCCTAATAGACAGCAAGCACTTCGGATTACTTGCAGTTCCTTGGAGAGGACTGTCCAATTACAGCACTTGGTGTGACTTTAAACCCGGTAGAAATGTCTTCAGATGGTTTTTCTGAGTGAATCCTATCGTTTCGATTGTTCTCAGCATCCCACAGCAACTCGTTTCCAGGAAAGGTGCCTCCTTGTGCCCTTGATCCCGTATCTCCACCCACCCTCTGGGCTCAGGAAGGACCTTACAGATGTCTTAAATCATCTGGTGATAATCAGGTGGCATCATGATGGCATCACCGTGGGAGACCACCTTCTGTTCTCTCCTACTGAGCCCTGTTCTCACCGTCGAGGCCATCGCATGGATGGGCTGGGACCTCTGCGCCTCCTCTCTTTTGGGAGACAGTTTGCCGGGCTTGGCTCAGTCTCTCGTGTGAATCATCAAAACGCCCCAAGTCTGTGATGAACCAGGACTGGCACCAGCTCAGCCTCGTGTTCCCCACACCCCCAGCCCTATGAGGGTCTTCACTCTCTGCTGGTGGATGAGGTATCTCAAAGATCAAGTCATAAAAGCCAGTCCTCAGCACGGAACCGGTTTTACAGTTCATAAACTGGAGTTACGTTGTAGTTATTTAACAGCCTGGCGAATGAGGGGGAAAAAAATTAATCCCCCTTGGCTCAGCCGAAGTCCTCAATAGTTTTTTGGTACTACCCTGGACTTGCACCAGATTTTTCTTCTTACTGACTTATGTTTAACACCAGGGGAGGAACACGCTACTCTTGCAAAACTCATCCATCCAAGCCTTTTGAGAACTGGTCCATATGGCAATGTGTATGTGCGCTACACCTGATGCCAGATACCATATGCGTGGTAAGAAAACACAGTTTTAATTGTGTACTCTCCTGAGGAATAACAAGTGTGATGATTTCTCAGGCATCACGTCACATGGCAGGAGCAGAAAAGAGGCATTTGAGCTCAGTTTCACAGGTGCTTCCCCTCCCGGCTGGAGAACGTGGTCTTATAACTTCAGATATCCGGAGCAGATTACTTACGTATAATTTTGTGTATCAGCAAGTCTAGTTACGAGACCTCCTGATAAACCCGTAAGGAACGGCCTTGGACATGAAGCACTCTCATGTTTATGTTTCTTTTACTTCAAGTTTTTTTTCCCCATCTTTGATCAAAGTTCTTGGCAGACACAACCGCAGGCTGATGGACTGGTGCTAATGAACCTTCCAGATTTCTTTCTCTCAGACACCAAGTCTGATAAATCCTTGGGCTCTACGGCCAGGAAAGCCAGGCAGGCATGTCCCCCATACCCTGGTAGGTCCAAAAAATGCCCACGGTCTGCAGAAGGGCAGAGCCACGTAAGGCACCACGTTAAAACAACTGTGAGAAAACCAAGTTGTCTCCTGAAACTCATCGTCATTCACCAGTGTCTTCATACACAATTTATTCTCCCTGCTGCTTATGAATTTTTTTTTATTTTTTTTTTTTTTGAGCTGGATGTGCATGCAATGTAACATAAATACGCTTACACATACTTATGCATATATCTTTCACATAACACGATTTAAGTTCTCCTACACAGCCATGGGAAATCTCTAGAACTAAAAAACAAGCCGAGGAAGATGAAATACTGTGCAGACAAGTGGCAAAGATGAAACGTGGTGTCTGTGTATTCCCTAAGAAAAATATTTATCTATAATATTTACTAAAAGCTTTCTTATGTGAGCCGGATGCAAAATTTCTGGGGATGTGGGGGTTTAAATGCGACTTCATTTTAATATTTTCCAACGTGTACGCGAGTGGCACGAAATCCATGGCGTTTACAGCACCATGAAAACGCATTGCATAGTTTGCAGCATAAATGAGGTTGATAGCTCAGCATAAGATCCCTATAAATACAATTATTGTGGGAACTCCCACCAACTTGCCGCCCCGCAGGGTCGATGCGTCCGAGCCGTAGCTGTTTGATGTGCTGCTGCCGGGCGTCGGCACCCCAACCCGCATTGGCTTTCCCTGCGGGTGTTGCTCCCGTTGATATTTTTCGGCCGGACGGGTGACTGCGTGCCAGACCCGAGGGCTGGTGTCGCTTGTGCCGCGGCGGGATCGTGCCGAACCCCTGAACCCGCCCGTGCTGCCAGTGCGGAGCGGCTGTGGCGGCCCCGGCCGAGCCCGGGCGTTATCCCGCTCAGGCGGCAAAGCCCGTGCCAGAAGCACGACTACAATCCGGGAACTGTTGAGAAAGCAAAAGCTGGGAGGCAAGAAACTGGGTTATCGCCTGATGTGTCACATTCCCATTCACACAAAAGTTTAAAGCGGAGGATGTTTGGTTTTAGCTTAACTCCGAAGCACAAATAACTGTTTTTATGAAATTCCGGGTACTCGGAGATTATTTTTTTTCCTCTCTTTTTTTTTTACAAATTGATGTTGGGATAGGATACACCATAAATTATTCCCAGGATTCAATATACAATATTTTGGAGCCTACCGTATATCCAGGGAAGCGTTGTCGTTGGAGAGCAGTACAGTCTCATCATTTAATACTAACTTTTGATCTGACACATGGGGGAATTTTGCATTTTACATACATTTTATATGTATTATATTTTATTTATATAAAAAAATATATTTTCTTAGTATTAGAAACAAAACAGAACTCTTGTTGGGAGGTCTCTGCTCTGTCTGGGCAGATGCCCTGGGCAGGAGGGGGCTTTACATCCTTCACTGCTGTTCAAAGCAATAGTCAATAAATTTTTCCTAGAAATTGATTCAACCTGGTCAAAGTGGAGCAGGACGAGGGTCATGATGTGAACAGTAACAGCTGGTTTCTTTGTGGAAGGGAGGGTTTGGGTTGTTGTTTGGTGGGTTTTGGTTGGTTTTTTTTTTTTTTTAATTTATTCCTATAAACAGCGTGGAAGAGAACAAAAAATTAATTCTCATGCAGTTTCTTGTATCCCATGAATTATTTCATTGCGTTTTATGAATGTTCCCTCCAATTCACAATAATTTTCCAATTTCAGTCTTATCTTTCTGCTTTACAGAACCAGTGCTTACTTGGGTTCTTTCCCGTGACAGGCAGGGTATATTGTGCTTATTAATGAGTGCTATCTTGCTAAGTGATGAGCTGTTATAATTGATGTTTTGAACCTTGCGCCCTTTAAAACATTAACCCGTGAACAGATAAGCAAATGAAACTCACTGCCGCAATGGACATGAACATCACACTTGTGCTCAGTTCTCACTACCCAGCTCAGATTTTTGTCGCAGCTCCGTAAGTTGCAGAGTCATTAACAGTCAATTAAAAGCTTCTCTGTCTGGGAAAACACTTTCAGCAAGTCTTTTTAACCTTTAGGCCTATGATTTCCAGCGTCTGTGGTCATGACTGCTATGGCATATTGTTTTAAGATAAAAAAAAAAAAAGTTATTTAACATTTTGGGGTTTGTTGTGCAGCGAATGCCTTCCACGGAATCTAAAGCAATTCATTTGCTCCCCACCTAGAGCGCGCTGCTCAAAAGACATAGAAAGGTGAACTGTGAACCAGGTAGCAGTTTTCACCTGAAGGATATCAAAGCGCTCACTGCAAGGCAGGAACAACAGTAGGGAAAAGCGGGGAGGTGCTGGGATTTAGAAACCGACAAAAATTCGTGTGTACGGCTGACTCCATGTCGAGTGGAGATAAGGTAGCTTTTATTTGTTGCTCTCTCAAATAATTAATGTTTTCAGTCGCAATACACTTAAGGAGTTACGTACACAAATATTTCCATTTGGCCTGCGATTTGTTTTCCATCAGACAGACCTCCACCTGCTCTCAGCAGTGCTCACGCTGACCGTCCCTACTTCTGTGTGACGAGGCAAACACTGAAGATCTTACTTCTTGGCTTTTGGTCCTTCGGGAGAGGAGTGCTATTGTTTAATTTTTAATTAATAGGATGAAATGCTCATCAGGGCACAACACAGAATCACCAAGGGGTGTGGTGAACAAGCCTGAAAGGGCTTTTTCCCTTGAGGTAGGATGTGGGATGACCCCCCGCCCCGTTTTACACCCACAGCCACCCATGAAAGGTGATCGGTCACCGGTTGCCTCCGGGAGCCCTCGGGGTGCAGGGGTCCCCCGGCTCAGGAGGTTGACCCGTCCTTCATGTCCCGCGGGTTGATGTATGATCAAATGGTTGTTAAAAAGTGGGAGCACCCACACTGAGCAGCTGATGCTGGGGCCACCGGCAGCCGGGGTGGATCAGCTGCTCCAGCTCACCCTGATCTCCAGCTTTGCTTCCCGCTGCTGCCCAGGTGCAAACAATAAGCCTTAATGATGCTGAAACTCTTAAGGCAAGGTTTGGCTGGGGACTGTGCCTTATATATGGTGAGACAGTGGTGCAGGTTGTCCAGAGCAGCTGTGGCTGCCCCCTCCCTGGCAGGGCTCAAGGCCAGGTTGGACGGGGCTTTGGGCACCCTGGGCTGGGGGAAGGTGGCCCTGCCCGGGGCAGGGGGTGGCACTGGGTGGGGTTTAAGGTCCCTTCCCACCTGAACTATGCTGTGAGTCTCCATTCTCTGAAGCCCATCAGGTACAGAGCTGTGTTAGCAAATTGCTCTTGTGGGTTTGGAGGGTGCTGAGCTTGACTGCAGGGCAGGGTCAGGGGAGGGCCCTTGGCCAGCCCCAGGAGCTGGGCAGGGTTTGCAGCCCAGCTCAGAGCTGGGATTTCCAAGCTAAAGCTGCAGCAACTGCCCGGCTCCCCTTGGGGGTGTGTTACCTGCCTGCTGGTCAGGTGCTGATGAAGTTTCAGGTGGTTTAGGCTCAGCTCCCGGTGACTTTTTTTTTTCTTTTCTCTGATTATTTCATTTCAGCAAAACCCTTTGAGAGCGGGCAGTACCTGGACATCTACGGAATTACAAGAGACCAGGCTGGGGAGTATGAATGCAGTGCGGAAAACGATGTCTCGGTCCCAGATGTGAAAAAAGTAAAAGTCACAGTAAACTGTAAGTCACGTTGTTTTTTAATCACTAAATCCAGTGGCGAAGAGGGACGCAGCTGAGAAGAAAAGTCTAATGCAGTGAGCTGCTGCTTGTGGTGACATTGTAGTGTGTTTGGGGATTGTATGCCAGCAGTAGAGTAACCCGTGCTGTTTGATGTCCCTGTTAGCCTCACCAAAGGAAGGTAAAATGAGCTGAAGGTTCAAAATGCTCCTTTTGTCTGCTGGGGCGCAGCAGTGCCGGCGTGCTGGCACCGGCTTTATCGCAGGCGCTCTCGCTGGGCTGCGGCGTTGAGACTCGGGTTTTGGAGTAATTTTTTGAGCAGTAACTTCTGAGGGCCGCTGTGGTCGTTGGGCTGAAGTCTTTCTGATTTGTTATGGTTGTGCGATGTCATAAGGAGATGAGAAATTATTTTTTTTTTTAAGTTGTTTGGGCGATTAGATGGCAACTGATCCCTGTGGAAACTTGAGGTACTCCCGGTAGAGGCAACAAGCTGTTTCGTGTGGTTGCCCCCGTGTGAAGACAAGCACTTTGCTGCTGCAGAGTTCTGGTGGGTGGTGGGTAACCCCCGGAACGCTAAGGTAGCCCCTTACCTGTCCCTGCAGCCCCTCAGGCCTCACCGCCTGGGATTTTCAGGCTGAGGAGGAGCTTCTGACTTGGGACTGAATTTGGTTTAGCACTTGGTACTACATGAAACGTTCAGAACAGTGTGTTTCCCTCCAACGTGTTTAAAAAAAAAAAAAAAAAGAAAGAAAGAAAATGGGGATAATTACTCTCATTCATTCTAACCACAAATTTTCTTAGGTTAAGTGCAATTACACAGCTTGTAATTTGTAACAGTTTCTGGCTTCAAAATAGCTGTGGTGTCTTTATTGGCCACGGGGTTTTTTTTTGAGATCTCAGCTTTGTGTCTCCTTCCACGTTCTAATTCCTATCAATTTGCTGTAGGAAACAAAGCGCCTCATCCCCCGGTTGCTGCGGAGCTGGACGTGGGTTGGGTTGCTGATGGGGTTGGCTGTGCTACCCGGGTGTTTATGGGATGTTCCCACATCCAAACGCTGCCCAGGCTCCTGTCATTTATGTGGCAGCAGGGAACTTGCAGTTCGTGCTGTCCTGGAACGTGGTGGGTCAACGCGCTAAGGAACACTCCGGGAGTAGCTCGATCACGCCCTGGGTGTCATGGGCGGCCTCTGTACTGCTGGGTCGTGTAGGCTGGTGGCGCTGCCCGCAGGTCCTGAGGCTCTGGTGTAACGTGCTGCGCCCATCCGGCCTCGCTTTACAAGTCGCAAGGACAGACTTGAACCACAGAGCAGCTCACAAAGGCTCGTGCCAAGTCCGTTGCCGTTCTTGCTCCTCCTTTGCCCTCACTGACATGTTTCCAACTACATTAGCTTTGCTGAATTTGCAGAAGCATCAGTGCTCTAAACACTGTAGACTCTGTGGGAGGAAAAACCACAGTGGATGGTGTCCTGGGGAACCAGCACCCTGGCTTGTGTCAACAGGACTAGGGAAGGGATCGTCCCCCATACTTGGCGCTGGTGAGGCCACGCCTCAAATACGGGGTTCAGTTTTGGGCCCCTCGCTACAAGAAGACGTTGAGGTGCTGGAGTGTGTCCAGAGAAGGGCAAAAAACCTGGTGCAGGGTCTGGAGCACAGGTCTGCTGGGGAGCGGCTGAGGGAGCTGGGGGGGTTTAGTCTGGAGAAAAGGGGAGTTTTATATTGGATATTAGGAAGAATTTCTTCACTGGGAAGGTTGTCAAGCTCTGGAACAGGCTGCCCAGGGAAGTGGTGGAGTCGCCATCCCTGGGGGTATTTAAGATGTGTAGATGTGGCGCTTAGGGACAGGGTTTAGTGGTGGGTTTGGCGGCGCTGGGTTAAACAGTTGGACGCGGTGATCTTACAGGTCTCTTCCCACCAAAATGGTTCTGAGTCTAACAAGTGACCGTTAATCTTTGTGCAGTATGTGGTTACTGGAAGGTTGCCAACAGGAGAAGTTGTGCAGATGTTTGCAGAGGCGTGCCCGGGCTGTTTGGGGGGGGGTGTGTGACACTTTTTGCACAAGCTGCCCTCCAAAATGCTTTGTGGTGTCAGATCAATAGCTTGCAGTAGGGACCAGAAGGAAGGGTGGGCTCAGTCTAATTTTAGCAAAACAAGTGTTGCATCTGTGTTATCGCATATCGTGGGGATTTTAATAAGAGTGAAACACGCTGTCTTGGGACCTTTCTGAGTGCTCATCGAGAGGGAGATGTTAGTAAGCCTGCTTAGTGGTTCTTTTGCGGTGTGATTATGGCGGGTTTCTTTAAAA